AGCCAAGGTTCATCCCGCAGTGCCATTGGGATTTGTGGACGTATGTTAAGCAAGCCCAACGGGAACGTGCGCTTGTTCTGCACAAAATCAAATCACATCTCTCTGAGTACACCTTCAGGGCTCAATATCACCAGGAGCTCTGGTGGATGTGGCCTGGTAACTCTAGAGCTGATGCTGCTTTGATTTTTGATCAGGATGTTCTCGGGCCCAGGCTTGGTTAGATGACAGGGTGTGGAAAGTGCAAGAACGCCTGCTTGATGCAGTTGAGTGGTGGGTCCTGAGGCCGGATTTTGCTCCCCCCAAGACCCATAGCTGCAGGCCTCCCACGAAGCAACAGTGGTTCAGTCAGTTGTTGGATCTGCCGGCTCAGTCTAGGCACCGATGGCATGTCCACAAGAAAGGGCTCATTTGCAAATCCTGTGGTCTCAAGCTTGCAGCCCATCAGCCTTGGGAAATCCTCAAGCCGGCCATCGCTACCTTGAAGCCACTTCGTATGTGCATCCTACTCACGTGTTGGAAGGCAGCGACAACGGTGTACTTGTATGTAGGCTCTGTAAGTGCAGAGCTCCGCTCTATCGCTTGTCAGCTACAAGGCTGATAGCAAAGTGCAAGAAGTACAGGAAGACATCCTAGACCCATCCCAGAGAATGGAGCTTTCATTGCAAAAAAATATTGCCTGTCTTGGCAAGCTTCCTGCATGTATGTTGCCACTTGGACCAGGTAGCAGAGATGAAAACTCCCTAGAAGGAAACAATAATGCGAGAGGCAGAAAGGAAGCTTCGCAAGCTACAGCTGCAGTAAGTAAAAATGCATTCCCGTTTTTCGCTGTAAGCACCGTTAGCCGAGATTCCAGCGTTTCTTCCAGCACTGCACGCAACCCTAACTTCGTTCCATCCAAAAGGCTCACCATAAACTCATTTTTCATTGGCGCTTCTCTGAAGTGTTGGCTCCAAGGGCGAGCAGAGGGACCCTGCCCTGAGTGTTACTTTCAAAGTTGGCACTGCTGTCTCGCGCCGATCACGGCACATACGAGCACGGCCTCAAAATGCAAAGCACGACAGCCCAACCGAAGTTGAAAACAGCTCCGCGCCCTGCATACGAGGACCCGCCAAAATTGCGGTGCTGTGACTGCCACGTGTTATGCTAATCAACTACTACGAGACTACTCCAGCAACGCATCCAACAGTGACTGAATTGCACGCTCGTTTCCAGATCTTGGAGCAACTCCCCCACGCTTGACCTGTGCGCCCATGCCCTGCAAGGCTTTCACAGAAATCTCGAGAATGTCCTCAATCTGGCGATGCACACAAAGAGTGAGTCTCATCTTCTTGGGGTCAAAACATTTACGGCATTTGAAACCAGGACCAACGGCTCCAACGCTTTCGCATTCTCAGCCGACATGATGTGCGCCTCTAGCTTCTGCTTCTCATCGGAACTGAGGTGACCGGACTCTCCCAGTTGTAAGATCATTGCAGTCCAAGCATGAACGTTTCCCCTAGCGCTTCGCAATCACGTTGCTTTCCCGCCTTCTCACCATAAACTACCTTAAGATACCTTAAGCAACTTACTTCCTTGCCCTGAAAGAAACAATGAAGGTTTTGATCTGTGCTTTGGTGGACTCCGCGTCAATCTGGTCCTCTGCAGCAGTCTACTTGCACAGGTCTCCGAGTCGATCTCGTGACTGTTGCTCTGTTTCTCATCCCTGCCTTTGAATCCTTTGAACTTGTTCTTCATGTGAGCGGCGGCCAAAATCCCCATGAAGGAGTTTGACAAGAGGGTTCCTGTATTGAACCTGAATCTTGCAAAAACTGGTGCGCGCGTCAGTGCACGTCAGCATTTTGCAGGCACATTGTCCGCGATAGCTTGCGATCTCGGCTCGGTAAGAAGGCTCTGCGCGAAGCTGGCAACGTGCGCGCGTCAGCAAAAACTGTGCGCGGTGTTCACTCATATCATATCTCATTCGCGATAGCTCTCGTCAGTGCGAAAGAACAGCAAGAGCTTGCGATGCGCACCTGGCGCTGGGACCGTGTCAATAAAACGTATGGTTCCACGATAGTGATTGATACGAGAACAAAAGGCTCAAAGGGTTTTGGCTACGGCTCATGCCGCATTTCGATGTACTCAGGATTTAGTTTTGAGTCAGTCTGCCGATCAGCTCACAGAAATGAATTCTTGTATAGTCCTGAACAGTCCGACTCTTGAACGGGGTGCTCGATGGCCGAATGCTGGTCTGGGGAAGATGGGTGGGCTACGGGGAGAGACTTTAACATGGTCAGCCACGGAAGCATGCCTTGGCAAATCCTTGCGAAGTGAACGCGGCGTGCAGTTAGACCAGGCAGCCTTCACAAGCTTCGCAAGCTCCAGGAGAGCTGTTCTTTCATGACTTGGATTCTTGAGTTTCTCAGCTGGAGCACTGACGGGCAGCGGCAGCAAATGCTGGAGGCAAAGCAAGGCTAGACCGGCTAGAGACCGGCTAGAGAGCGACTAGAGCGGCTGCGGCGCAAGCTTTGCAGAAGCAGACACGTCTTTGGGATTCCACAGGATCTCCTGTGGGTCAGTGAGCAATGCCGCCTGCGAATCCACTCCCCACGCAGGAGCTTCTCAGCTCTCGCAGCCGCCGCAACCACCGCAGTCTCCTTTGCCGCAGCCTGTAATGTACCTTGGCCCGGATTTAGTTGTGGAGGCGAGGGAGTTGGAGTTCGTGTCTCCTCCAGGCAGATGACGCAAATACTTGCACCTGCAAAAATGGAGCTCTCGCTCTCGGGAGCATGCCTGGACTTGCTGGTTGCACCAGGCACCCGCACCTGGATGAGGCGCTGAGGCAAGTTGACCTCCCTGACAGGTGACGTGCTGCTGATGCGCGGTTCTGGGCGATTGGCAGAGATAGGGAATGCTGGCGGCTTCATGGGACACGTTCTCGTCGTGTGGCTCGGAGCTGGCTTAGTATGAAGCAGAGGCACACTTCTGCAAGCAGCTTCGGATCTGCCTATCCGAATTAAGGACAGGCAAGCCGCGGGAGGTGTTGACATCGTCTCCTGATGCACCGCAGCTCGCAAGCCTCTGGCCAGAGCAGGCGTCAGTGCACCAGATGGAGGTCCTGTTTGCTTTGGTCTGTTGAATGCAGGAGCGAGCTTTGTGGCGGATTCCAACGCTGGAAAGCACACGAAGGGAGAAGGGTCTTTGGGAAGCAGAAGCTTGGCAGCGACAACATCTTCAGACCTGCTGCATAGCTGCTGCATCTCCAGAGACCTTCACCCCTAGCATTGCATGCTCTGGTGAGGAGAGCGTCATCTTGGTTGAGCGCTTGGGGCGGCAGCTGATGCTCGTAGGCAAGAGACGGTGAGATTAGAACAAGTTCTCAAAACGTTGACACTTTCCTCTTCTCAGCATTTGACCCCGCCTGGTCCCGCCTTGGTAGGCGAAGTGGAGCGTGGTGGAGACGTTTGCAACTTTGAGCCGCACGAGGCTGTTGAGATCTGGCAGAGCCCAGTGCCTTGGCTGCAAGAGCTCTTGGAGTCACACCGCCCTACAACTACTTCACCCGGTTTGGGGCCGAGGAGGAGCTTCGTGGAGCGCTTCGTGTTGACTTGATGGCATTGGTCCTTGCGGACATGCGGAAGAACCAGGCCTAGGGAATTTGGCCGGCAGTGCGGCAAGGCTGACAGTCATTCCCACAAAGTGAGGCCAATTGGAGCGCAACCACGGCAGCACGAGCAGCAGGGGCCCCAGGCAGTCTGCCTCGAAGGAAAGTTTAGTCAAATGATTTGGTGTCGGGTAGGGAGTGGCTGACCTCATTCCGTAGTCGTAGCCCAACTGGCATGCTGATAGCAGAGTGAGCAGAGTGAGGTTCTGTCTTCAGCAGAAATGGTGGAACAGCCTACAGCTAGTCAGACCTTGGAGGTTCGTCTTAGCCGGAGACGAGGCTGTATGTGAAGTTACCGCCATGCTATGCCATGCTGATCAGGGGGTGAAGAGATGCTGGGAGGCAGCTCCTATTTGTTAACAGCTTAGCTCGTGTTGTGTTGACTCGCTGCTCTAAGCCATGGTGATACTGCCTGAACTGGGACACCGAGGCACTTCTGTGGTCATCAATTTCTGGCAGAGGCTTGGCGTATGCGAAACATCTTCTGCTTTGCGCACGACTTACGCAGACGTGCGATTGCTTGCAGCTACTTGTAGTTGCAGGTACCTTGAGAAACTGGCTGCGCATTCATTCCTCAGCCTGTGATTTCCTTAGTTTTTCGAACGTCATGCATTGTTTCACGTTGCAGTTTGTGAGCACACAGGCATGCTCAACGCAAGTACATGACCAGCAAGGGCGTGGAAACTCTGTTGCAGGTCATCCCAAGTCAGCGGCATTCTTGGCATGTAGAGTTAGCCATATTTTCAATTACCCGCGGTTGAAGCTCGTGCCCTGACCCGTGGAAACTGTCTACACGAAACGGTTGAGAAATCAAATCGCTTGATCTTTTGCGTTTCAGGCCAGAGCCGCCAGCTGGGCTCAACGTGGGCGACGCGATATCGTGGGCCCGAGGAACTGGCTTCAGAGCGGATCTGCGGATTTGCAACTCCAAGCCAAAGGTACTGGGACCTGAGCTGCGGGACTTGGGTCAACGGCTTTGTCAAGGAGCCGAGCCCTCGGTGGAGTAAGGCTACGCTGCCACTCTCTATAACTCTCTTGCTTTTGCCGAGCTCAGGCGAGTTGTTGACGGTCAAGGCGACGCAGCAGTTGCATACCATTTGGATGTGGATGCCCCAGTCAAGTTTCAGGCTTGCTTCAGTGGAACTTTTGAAGTATTGGGAAACGTTGCAGTCCTGCCTGTTCCAAGATTAAGCCGTCGGCCAATCCTCAGCATATCCGCCGCCGACTGGATGGGGAAGCACTGGCAAAGAAGGCGAGCATGCATAGTGTCTTGCAGACCTGCAGCATCTATCTCTCCAAGGTGGAACGTTGTATAGTTATGTAGAGGACGAGTACTTGAGCTGTTCTTTCTGTGCATTTCTGCTGAAAATCTTTGAAGCCTTCCTTTCTCAGATGCAGGCGGTGGATCTGATCCGCAGATACGTGCCCCTGAAGGCGCCCGGCAAGTTGCCTGCGAATTTTGCGAGGTGGCTGCATTGCTGAGGCAGATCGGGCCCTACCCGGTGATTTGATGAGAAGCATGAGAAGCTGCTTCTGGAGTTGCGTCCAGCAGGTGCATGCAGTATTGTAGCCGTGCTGTCGCTCTATGTCGCTCTTAGGATGCTGCCACGTGCAGGTGCCGCAAGTTTTCCGCCCGGTCTTGACGCCGGCAACTTATGTGTCGAGGCATGTCAGCTCCAGCTTGGGAATGTGATCGATCGAGAAATTGATGGGTGTAGTTGTCGATGCTAAGGGCACCCCCGCAGCAGATGGTCATTAACGTTCCCGTCAACCCAAACCCTTCACCCACACAGTCCCGCCCGCAGTCGCCCCAGCCTCAGTCGGCCAGTAGGCCGAGAAAAACATCATCATCCCATTCTGCCCACTCTGCACACTCCGTCCCCACGCCCTCACCACTAGTGCGACCCAAAGCCGTGCCAGTCTTTGGGAGTGGGCCGCCGCTTGGTCCAGGCGGCCCCCATGCTCAAGGCTTGCCTGTATTTGCATTCCCTCAGAACCGCTCTGGCCAGCCCGGGCAACCCGGGCAACCCGGGCAACCCGGGCAACCCGGGCAACCCGGGCAACCTGGGCAGTCCGGCCAGCTGCCGGTGTTCGCTTTCCCTCAGGCCTCGGCCCCCGCTTCACCCGGTGTGCCCTTGCCTGGCCTCCCAGTGCTCCCCATTCCGGGTATGGCTCTGCCACCCCCCATGGGGCCACGTACGCCCCGCACCCCCCGCCAAGAGGAGGATGCGCAGGTGGCCTCAACCCCTACGCAGCCATCTGCTGTTTCCCAGCCACCCCAAGAACCGCACGCTGCAGAAAGCGAAGTGGAAGTACAGAACAAGGGACCTCCTATGCCTCTAGAAGGGCGCGCAAATGAGGAGGAAAGTGACAAGGCGAGGGCCCCGTCAGCTTACGAACCTCATGAGATCTCATGAGCACCACCTCTCAGGTCATCGTAGGCTGCGAGTCAATGGACTTTGAGGAGTTCTCCGATATCCGCAATGCGGACGGTGAATGCCTCAGATCTGCATCGACTCTACTCGCATCCAGATCCTTTTTAAAGCCTTGTCATCGCGTGTTTTGCGGCGCCTTGTGGAGAGTGTGCCAGCTTCCGTTTGCGTCCGCAGGCTCCATTGGTGTCCTCATGGCTCCTGGCCAAAGCCGTGTCATGCTGTGAGCATCACTGAAGAGGTCACCGGGGTGTGCGATTGTCCTGGCAGGGCAGAACACCCGGGACTCAGCTTCATGCTTCATGTGGATGAGTAGCGGGGGGGGGAAAGAGAAATATGATGCACTTAGTTCATGCAGCAGGGTGACAGCTTTGTCATAAGGACAGTGTGAGTTCAAGCGGCAAACGCAGTAGCCTGTTCCAACTCGGTTGTACTGGATTGCAACCACGTGACACCCCCGAAAACCGATTTGCACAGTCACTGCTGCCGCATGCTCTGAATGGAGCTGTGTCGACAGCATATGAGAAAACACCTTTGGGACCTTGATTGGCATTCCGCCTTTAAGGTATTTGTTGTGTCCCCACAGAGCCGGTATTCTGAGCCAAGGCTGTCGATCTCGACAGGGCTTGGACATACTGGTGTCAGTGGGCCACAGGCCTTTCCTAGCCGTGGCTGAGGTGCACTTTTTAAAAGCATCGACGGAGCAGGCAGGCTTGATACTGGGTTTGTGAACGAAGCCGAGGTGTCAAACAAGTAGCAAAGACCTCAACGCTGCCCTGGCTGCTCTGTCCAGTCATGGTAGGTTTCCAAGAGGGCTGTCCCTCGTAACATTATGGGGATTGATGCAAGCGCAGCAGTGTTGAACTCGTCCTCGCCGAACCTGGAGGTCCCTTAGCAATGCCAATCACCGCTTGCAGGCTGGGTCATCAGAAGTTCCACACAAGGACGCCCTTGTCTTGTCATGCCCATACACCACAAACACCGGGATGATTTGATGAGGCCAGGGTTCGCAACATGCTGAATTTTTTGTCTTGCGAGTTGCCGGAAAAGTGGTGATTTCCTAAGGAAATCACTCAAATTAGGTGGAGACCTTAAGACAAGGAGCTTGTGCAGATCAGTGTTGGTGGAGAGTGCCTTCTCAATCGCACCGAAGATGTTTGCGCACTCTTTCAAGGCTTGGCGTAAGCTTGACGCAAGCTTGATAGGCAGCTTCAGACGACACTGCAGGTAGTGGCCATGACGACACAAGGCACATGGCCTTGTGCGATAGCACGGCTTTCACTGTATGCTCACGGTGTCAAACCTCCACTGTTAAAGAGCAGCATGTAACGGCTGATTATAGGCCATAGGTGCCGGAAAAAGTGAGAAAGCATTCCGTGAGAAGTTCGAGATTTTGCTGCTGGCTCGTTTGCCGTGCCTCATCTTGGCTGAAGTCAGACTACGATTCCTGTAGAATCGCATTGCTACCCAGAGCAGCCACCCCAGCCTACAAATCAACAGCGTTGCCATGCTGAGCAAATTCCAACGCTTCCAAAGCTCAAATCCCTACAAGCTGATATTGCATCAGCTTGATGATAGCCGATCCTTGCCAGCCGTTCAGTTGAAGGCGCCATCTCTGCATGCAGCCGATAGGCCAGCCTTTTTTGGGGAAGCGCCTGTCAGGTGCTGGCACTGCTATGACAGCTCCAAGAAAGCGGAAGCAGGCCTTTTCAGACATTTTTAGCTGGACGGCAGCACCTCTTCCTGACCAGTCCTCTTCATCTTCATCATCAGAGAAAAGATCCAGGCCAGCCCATGAACTTGGGAAGCTTTCCGTGCTTTCTGCTTGTTTGATAGAGTACTCAGGAAGAGCGCCTCCGCCAAGCCAGGGGCTAAGAGTACGGAGATCTTGAGATTCGAATCTCTTGAAATTAATCAAGAGTGTCAGAGCCAATCAAATCTGAACCAAAAATGAGCTGAGAGAGCTCTCTGCGCGAGGCCGGCGCGCGGCGTTCGTCGAGCATGATACTAAGATGAATTCCCCAAAGTTCTAATCATGAACTTGGCTCTCTCGGCCTTTCAGAACTTAGGCTTTGAGCCTGCGCGTCCAAGGTTAGTGTCACCCCTTCGCCATCTCCAGAGCCCCCTCCTCGCAACTTGACCGCACTCAAATTCAGCACTCGATTGTTCGGCTGCGTTCATGACAAGGATTCGTGAATCGTCCAGCCCCAGTCCAAGCTTGACGCAGATGGCCTAGGCAATAGCAGATGTGTGAGCAACCTCTTCTTGCAGGTTGAAAGCAAGCGACTGTCCGAGTCGCCAGTGAGGCAAGTCCTGAATGCCCTTGCCGAATCTCAGATTTGAGCTGAGAGGCGTTCACCAGAGAGGGCCTCGAAGGGCAAGGGCAAAGGCTTGGCTCACACCAAGCACCAAGCCTAGTCACTTCAGTCCCTCATCTTAGTGCGCAGGGGGCGAGATTGATACCTGGCGGGCAGAGTTTGAAGAGGCTGGTTACTGGTTACTGGTTGGTTCTTTTTGGGCACTAAGATGCCTAGCAATCGGTGCACGCCGTCCGCCTCAGCCCGGCTGTGCGCCGGCCTTTTTTAAAGTAGCAGTCAGGACAGGTAAAGTTATCATGGTGGTGTGTGATAGTGGGTGGGGGTGGGGGGGCAGCGGGTTTGGGGCTTTTGCGTTGGCGGAACTGCAAGAACGGCCGATGGAAAACGACAGAATCCTAGGCTCCGGAAGATAGCCAAAATGAAGGCGAAGGGCGGGTAAGGGGGAGGGGCAGAAGCAGCAGAGTGTTCCTGCAGCAAAGTCTCTTTTTGCCAGACAAATTATGGATGCTTGCGAAAGTGTACGGATTTCTGCGAAAATCTATGATGGTTCTAACAAAAGTGTAATGTTGCTGAAAGGCTGCGTGTTTTTGCGAACATCCATGGATTGTTGCCAAATCTATAGACTTGGCTGAAAATCTACAAGTTGGTGAGGGCACTCGGCTGAGGTAGTTTTGGATTTGAATTTTGTGGAAGCGCTCAGGATGCTTTTTTTTGGATCTTTGCTCTCTGTTTTTTTGCAGAATCCACGAAGTTGGCACGCAAAGTCTAAGTTCTAGGTACAGTTTTTGGCTGACTTAGACGGTTCGGGTCCGGTGCTTTTCCGGGGTTAAGGTTTTACATTTGCTTGCTTGCTTGCTTGCTTGCTTGCTTGCTTGGTTCCTAGCTCCTCTAAGAAACAGCAGTTTGAAAGAAAAAAGAAAGCGACCTGAAAGACACATGGACATAATGCCACCCTTGCAGCCGCCCGGATTCATTTGTCTGATTCTTTCATCGGCTGCCTGTCTAGGCAATGACTGTGGTAGCAGCTGCAAGAGCACTTGTGGCACTCATCGCCGAAACCAAGTGAAATTCTTGCCTTAAGGTGATTCATCCACCCCATTGCTAGATGCAAGTCGATCTCACGGCAGCCCCGGGAAGGAGCAATTCCCCCCATGATCTTGCAAGTCAACAGATCTAGATGCTCTGCCTGTGTACGATGGGCTGAATTTGCCTGGGCCCTGCCGGGCAAAGAAGACCAATAGAAAAAGAATTCATAGATTTCACGTGGGGCGTGCAACTAGAATTTTCTATGAGTTTGGATTTGCCGCCCAAGAGCCACTTCAACAGCTAGAAAAAGGGATGACTTTTCGCGTTTTCAATTCTAAGCCCTAACCTCGCGTTCTAAAACGTTCAGCTCCGAAACCCAAGGGCTGAAAAAGTTATCTACGGTAGATCCTTTTATTCAAACCGTGGACCAAAGCAAGTGATTTGTGTGAAATACCCATTCGTTGCGGGTCAAAGTGCTGGAAGCAGGGACTCTGGGGTTTTGTATGAGGGTTTGCAGGAAAGTTGCAGGGACACAGGTTTTCCCGCTTGCTTGGCGAGCTCTCCGAGCTGCTGGAACAAGCCTGCCAGTGCCCTGCGCCAAGGCGCCTGCCAAACGTAGTTGGGCAACTCTGGCTCCTTCGCCATCTTTTTGCTCAGCTGTTCTGATTCTTATCACTCTCGTTTTTTTTTGTTTCGTTTTGCTGCATCCGATTGTTATGTCCAATTAAAGCAGAAGCGCCAGATCTCCCCAAACCCTGAACCTCCAACCCGCAACCTTGTAACACTACACCGAACATTCTGAATCCCACAACCGCCCAAACCCTACAGGAATTATTCATGCGTAAGCTCACGAGCTGACCAGAAGCTGCTGCATCTGAAGTCAAAATGGGGTTAAACACCTGAAGCCCAAATGTTCGACCCTAGTCTCCGAGACTCTGCAGCCCCCAATCCTGGCGGGTAAGCAGCCTAAGACTTGTGATCCTAAAGCTCCTGAGCCCAAGACCCCAAACCCAAAAACCTAAGCCTTGAACTCCCAGATCCTGACTCTTAAGACCTGAAAATCAAGAGCTTAAACCCAAACTGCTGAGCTCGTGGCTTGGGCACACTCAGGCCCCGAAGTTGACGGCACAGCCCGACCGAGACGTCAAGACCGCTTTGCACAGCCACGCAACTCAGCTCCCCCAGCCCTTCTCGACCCCAACAGCATCCTGAGATGGAGTCCGCCACTCGAAATCAAAGATGCTGAAAGTCTTTGCTAGATTCGTGAAGTGTTTGGTCTGAAAAGGTGCTTTGGACTGAGAGGCTGCGCAGGTTGTTCATCTTAAGGACCTCAACATAATTTTTTAGGTCGAAGCTGCGTGTCGGGGAAAACCCGGGGCGTGTCCAGATGCGTTGGGGAAAACAATCGCAGCTTCGGGGAAACATGCAGTTTTGGCGGAACATGAAGGTACCGATCGGCGAATCGGACCGCCAGTGCCAAAACGGGGCGGTCTTGGCGATCAGTCCCTCATCCCTACCTTGACCCATGTCTTTGATTTCAAGGTTTCGACGCCGAAGCTTGGAGCAAAGCGCGCAACCAACATCTTAACTCAAGCCAGGATTATGTAACTCATGGACCCAAGCGTTTAAGATCAGATTCGGCAGAAAATGGGATATTGGTCTACCAAAAAAACCTTTGAGACAAAGTCCGGGATAAACGCCAGCTTGTTTGCCGTACTTGGAAGATTCAAGGTAATTTGATGGAATAGCGTGCAAATATTCAAGCTTATTTGGCAAACACAACTTGGAATGTATGGTCAAGTGTTGCCAGCCCATTTCAAAGTATGCTGTTGGAAGGCTTTGCAGAGCTTGCCAGGGTTAAGAGGGACACATCTCCAATCAGCCCAGACTGACATGTTATTTTGTTTCAGTGGTGGTGCGAGTTCCTCAGTGATATCCATCTGGGGCAACACTGAAACTGGCCACAACCTTGTCCTTAGCTGGTGCTCAAGTCAGAAAATTGTTCACTGCCCGTGAGCAATGTGAGTGTAGCGCAGGTGCTGGGAAACATGGCCAGAGTTCCCCAAAGAAATCAGCAAGTATTCTAGATGTCTGAAGTAGCGGCCCCCCAGGCCTGCGCAGCTTCTTGGGTTTCAGGCAGGTTTCTCGATGGGTGGGAGCCTCCCCGGCACTAATGTGGGTTGGATCCTATCAGCGAGCACTCACACCTGCTGCCCGTCTCCGTCTTCCAGGCGACAGTACCACTTCTGTTTCTTCTTTATGCATGTATTGAGTTTGG